AATCTCTTGGAAATCAGTTTCGGGAATGACTTATTTAATATTGAGCAGTTGAATTACTTTAAAGATTCTTTACAGAACTGTAAGAAAAAAAAAACAGTTATTTCGTGTTTTTAAAGATAGTCCATTCTAAAGAAAATTCCAAATATTCCCAAATTTTACAAAGAAAATTAATGAATTGACGAAGTTGCCGATATACAAACTAAACTGAATGGGCACTATCCTGGCCGTAAGATATTAGCTATTAAATATTGAAGCGATTCAGAAGAAGCAGACGCAATTTATGTTTATAGAAATGATTACACGAAAATCTAAATTTCACATTTTTTTTTCACGAATAATATGGTCGAAGCTGCACCTACCCACTTTCAGTCTCCGCCGTCATCGAATTAAGAGGAACTTTCTTGAGCGTTTGAAGTTACGCAACTCAGTGTTTGGAAGTTATCCAACCAATTTGATTATGCTGGGGATGGAGTTATTTACTTTGGTTAAATGGCATCTGCGCATGTCAGTTGTTCCTAGTACCTGGCTCTCGTTACTGTATACATGTGTTCCTGGCTCTTGTTACCGTATACATGTGTACCTGGCTCTCGTTACCGTATGCATGTGTACCTGGCTCTCGTTACCATATACATGTGTACCTGGCTCTCGTTACCGTATACATGTGTTCCAAATTTTAATCCGATAGATAACGGGATCCCTAGTTATGAACGTAAGAAATTCGTAAAGTTAGAGGAAAAAAAAACAAATAAGGAAATAAGTTATATGGTCGCCGTTCTGGGGATACCTAAATAAGTCTAGAAAAAATGATTGGTAGAAGACAATGCATAATTAATAACGATTTGAGATATGATATAGAATGCAATGACTGCAATTTGCTAGACTCTGAATCAGCAGGAAAAATACTGAAGTGTAGACTCCTGGGTCGGTATATTTTAATAGGGTGTGTATTGTGTAATGTGTATCTAAATATGGTGTGTATTGTGTAATGTGTATCTAAATAGGGTGTGTATTGTGTAATGTGTATCTAAATAGGGTGTGTATTGTGTAATGTGTATCTAAATAGGGTGTGTATTGTGTAATGTGTATCTAAATAGGGTGTGTATTGTGTAATGTGTATCTAAATAGGGTGTGTATTGTGTAATGTGTATCTAAATAGGGTGTGTATTGTGTAATGTGTATCTAAATAGGGTGTGTATTGTGTAATGTGTATCTAAATAGGGTGTGTATTGTGTAATGTGTATCTAAATAGGGTGTGTATTGTGTAATGTGTATCTAAATAGGGTGTGTATTGTGTAATGTGTATCTAAATAGGGTGTGTATTGTGTAATGTGTATTTTAATAGGGTGTGTTTTGTGGTTTTAATAGGGAGTACAGATTTTTTTTGACAGTGACAGCGAGAGAAAGAGATAGAAATTGTATAAGAAGAGAGTCATTAATAGGTAAGAGTGAATAAAAAGTGAATTAAAGTGGAGAGATAATGTAATATATAAGCAATTAATGGGAGGAAGGTGGAATAGAGAGAACACAAGCAATAAGTCGGTCGAAGAGCAGTGAAGTCAATTATTAATGCAGTTCAAGGCATCCAGCAGAAATTTGTAGACACAAATGGGTGTGAATTCGAATAATTAGTAGAATGATGAGCTAAAAAGGGCGGTAATGGAGAGAAAGTTAGCATAGGGCAGGTTTTTATCGTGTAAATGTGATATAATGAACGTAGAGTATAGTGAAAGAAAAAATAGACAGTATAAAATGTTGTGAGGAAGTGCAAAAGGAAAACCAGTGAGGGAATGGGTGAGGATCGTTCTGGTAGTGTTGCTGAGGGAATGGGTGAGGATCGTTCTGGTAGTGTTGCTGAGGGAATGGGTGAGGATCGTTCTGGTAGTGTTGCTGAGGGAATGAGTGAGGATCGTTCTGGTAGTGTTGCTGAGGGAATGAGTGAGGATCGTTCTGGTAGTGTTGCTGACAATAAAACGAAGTTTGAGTGGGAGATTAATAAGCTGACAACATCTCTATCGTATTTAACTTGACAGTTAAAAACGATAAACGGATAATATTATCAGTAATTTATTTGAGCCAGATCAGTAAGTAGGTACCTCGGTGTTAGTCGACTGTTGGGGGTCGCATCCTGGGGAGTGGTAGTATACCTCAGATAGAGAGGAGGCTTCGGAATGAGGTGAGGAAAGATGACAACTCTTAAGCCTGTAAAATTGATCTCTGGAAAAGAGAGGAAGAGAGAGAATAAAAATATCAATATTGTTATCTTGAGACTACTTCTCGTGATGTTATTGCAAAAAAAAAAAAGTATTGCAAAGGCTTCCTTATGAAATTTGATACGTGTTTTATATGCCAAATCTACAATATCTGATTGAAAAGAACGACATATGATCTCGATGAAAAATAGATTACTGCATATATCCCCTCCGTCCAGGAATATTTGCAGCAGAAACATTTGCGAAGTTATTCAAATATTTCATCATCTTAAGTGAAATACGAAGTAGACGGAGCGTATAAAGTTACAGGATACATTGTTTAGTTCCCCGCGATGCTCTGGGGAGTCTGCTTGAAGAGCTACTGTACGAAATGTTAAAATTAAAAATATTTCCTCAGTGGATTTTTTAATAGGTTGTGGTGTTTTGTTTATTAGGAAAGTGTCTCCTGACGCATTTCTTTGTCAGACGACGGTCCGCCGTCTTACTGGTACTGATTGTCAGTAATTAAGCAACTGCTGAATTGCCCGATCCGGGTATCGTTTATTAGCCAAGTGCTGGTTTAAATGTGTTGAGATTTAGGGATTAGGTAATTGCTTACTTTCTGGCGTTGGAAATTAGTGACTGAAAATGCATTTTAGTAATTAAGCAACGACTACCCAGTCAGGGGATTTATGTGATTTTTTTTACTTGTTATCAGGGACAATCCTACACATTTCTTTTTGTCTTTATGGCAGAATAATCTGCTTCCTCATTCTCATTTACTAAAGGAGAACAAAAACCTCTATCGACCGCCCGTAAAGAAACAAGATAATGTTAGAAAAATAACGGTCCCTGACGATGGCTTGGTACCTGACGCTGGTTCCAGTGCTGTTCCGACTCTTTAAGATAATCCTAAACAACGGTTCACGTTGACCATGACCTCACCATCTCCCATTACACAAAGACGAATTACTAAATTTTGTTTTTCGTTTAACGATGAAGTGGTCAATCATCTGGTCAACACACTTGACACGACCATCTTAACTCACTGGTCTCGTTCTGAAAAGTCACCCAGCTAGACTACGCTACCACCACAAAATCTTTGGACACCAACCTGGGACGAAATCCTTCACGTTGCAGCCTACGGTACCCGGTGAGTTCTTCATGACAACCATGTCATCTCAAGTTCTAATCTCACAGCCCCGAACTCTTACCAATGTAACTGGGTAACTGAGAGTATCCAACCAATGCAAAGTATTTTATCCATAACTATTAACGAACGAAACTACCTGTTATATACAAGTAATTAAATGCATGTACTGATGCTTGGTAAACTGCCTAGTATCTGCAGTTTTTACCCGGGTGTAGTTTTGTAAACAGTTATCCCTGATGGGAGACTGATAAAAATAAGCCACAATACCGTGACTGATAAGTGCTTGCTAGATTTTTTCTTGCTTTGTCTTCCTCAAACTTTCCATTTTTATTTCGCGCGTAACACAAGTCCTCACTCAGCCTTGGTGTATAGTGATTACCTCAAGATACTAGGAACAGTTGGCAGGTGCAGGTGCCCTATGAGCAAAGTTGTTAAACCCATTCCAGCATCCTGAAATGGTTCTGATAACTTCCAAATCCCTCTGAAGCATGACAGATAATTTGCTTTTTAGTGTTAAGGATTCCAGGTTACGACTGCACAACAGCCAGGCTGGAACTGGTTGTTGTCACTGTATGTCATTGCTAGGTAGAAACTGCCAGTCTACGACTGGTTGTTGTCACTGCTTATGTCATTGCTAGGCGGAGAGTGCCAGTCTATAACTGGTTGTTGTCACAGCTTATGTTATTGCTAGGCGGAGACTGCCAGTCTACAACTGGTTGTTGTCACTGTCCGGCTGTTGGAGACTGCCTGGCTACAAGTGACTACTATTAGGGGGAAGACTGCCAGGCTACAAAAGGCTACTCAAGACTGCTGATTCACAGAGTGCTCTCTCCACCGAAAGCTATATGTGACTACTGCTATCATTGCTTCTCCAGTACTACATGCTGCGTTGAGAGACGGGCCCTGACTGCTGGCTCCCTGATAGACAATGTGACTGCTCCCTTCCCCCCACCCCTAAACACATTTACTCTCATGCCTTATATAATTACAAAATTATTTTAATCTTATTACTAATCAGGCAGTTTAAAAACAAAATTTTATGTAGGTGTATTAAAGCAAAATATGTTTATTTTCCTATTTTTCTCGTCATAGTGACTCATTTGACATAGTGTCCGGGTCCACTTTCATATCCTTGATATTATGTGGACAAACTTATACTGTCATTTTATTTGCTTCTCGTTGTGGAGAATTTTCGCCCACAGATATATTACACCTAAGTATTGGACTATATTAACCTTTAAACTGCCCAAACGTAGATCAACGTTCATGTGCGGGGCTCCGAACGTAGATCTACGTTTTTTTACTTGCTTTCAAATGGGGAAAATTAAGGTCGGAGCACTACGTACAGTTTAAGGGTTAGAAACATACTGCATTACTTTTCAGGGCTTTATGTGACTTATTTAGTGAATCCTAATTATAAGTAATAAATATTACGTATTTCATTTCCTGCTTCGCCTGTAGCATTGTGACTCGTTCTTCATGACGTTTTTAATTATTAAATAACTTATGTTATGTTTTCTTTATTATTATTGTCTTAACCATTTATTCTTGTTTCTATTATTTTAACAATGTTGTTAGTTATATGGCTTCTAGTTACCGTGTTAAAAAAGTTACTCAAAATAAATAACATATAGTTTCTCCTCCTCCAATGGTGGCAGTTTCTGGTGTGTCGAGCAGCCAACCAGAGCCGGAGGACAGTGCTACTGCTGGCGAAGTGTCATCACTCTTTGCAGTGTTTTGGGGCGTTTTAGGAGTCTTTGTTCTTCTGGCCGCAGCTGCTGTCTTCATCACCTGTCGTCACTGTTCCCGAGGGACTGGCCTTACCTCTGATTTGGTAGTTGGACAAGGTGAGTTATAAAAGCAGTATTTAAATGTAATGTACTAAGGATAGTTGACCAGAATATGTCCAGGACACGTTTAACATTGTGTCCGAGACTTGGAGAGAAAACTGAGTTGATTAAAGGTGAATGAGTGGCTTTGTTACGATTATTTTAATAGGAAATAAATAATCGAGTTTGGGAGGGTGTGTAAAGGAAGGAAGTTGAAAGTGAACATAGATAAGAGTAAGATGAGAAGGATATCAAACTAGTTAGGTAAGGAAAATTTTGATATCAGATTGGAGGGAGTATGGAGGAAGTGAATGTGTTACGAAATTTGTGTCGGCGGATGGGTATATGAAAGACGAAGTAAACCATAGTATTGATAATTGAAAAAGGTAGGTAGTGCACTGAGGTTTCTATGGAGAAAAAGAACGTTATTCATAGAGGTGAAAAGGATAATGTATGATAGTATAGTGGTAACAACACTGTTATACGGGTATGAAGAATTGGTTGTGCTTGTTGCAGCGGAGGAGACTGGAGCCAGTGGAAATGTCGTGTTTGAGGGCAATGTGTGGCGTAAATATTATGCAGAGAATTTGTAGTTTGGAGATTATGAGAAGGTGTGGAGTTAATGAAAGTATTATCTTGTGGGTGAGGACTGGTTGTTCAGGTGGTTTAGTCATTTAGAGAGGATGAAGCAAAATAGGATTACTTGGAGGGTATATATATCTGTAGTGGAGGGAAGGCAGGGAATGGGTTTTCCTAGGAATGGATAGAGGGAGTAAATTAGGTTTTGTGTTCAAGAAGCTTGGACATACAGTAGGCTTGTGTAGGTGTGTTAGATAGGAATGAATGGAGGCAAATGATTATAGGACTTGAAGAGCTGTTGGAGTGTAAGCAAGGTAATATATTGTGAAGGGATTCAGGGAAACCGGTTAGCCGGACTTGAGTTCTAGAGGTGGGAAGTACAGTGCCTGTTCTCTAACAGAAGGGTATAGAGTATTTGTTGTTTAAAGGTAAATCTAAACTGCCGTATCTGTGCGCCTCTGCCAAACAGTGATAGCGTGAATGATGGAGAAAGCATTCTTTTTCGTGTGACCCTATCCTCGGTGGGAGACGGCAAGGATGTTAAAAATTCTCAAAAATGTGATGCAGTGGGGTCTGTTTCTGTTGTAGTCATTAGGTTGTTTTTAAAGATCTTTAATGAAAGAATGAGACACGTTTAAGATTTACTTATTCGCCTTGCTCTGTCCAGGAAAGATCACCAATCTTATGATAGAAAGACGAACGCTCAAGTACTGACAGCGGAACAGGTGAATCCTTGAGACCCTGTGGGTGGCAAGGAACTTCTTGGGATGTATCTGTAGTACTCAGATGAGTGTTCACAACACTTCAGAGAGAGCAAAGACCAGTACCGGATGTCTAGGAATGTCTTGAAATATAATGGAAATATCTGGTAAAAATTAATTTGACCATCTTAAAGTGAGCTGAAAACAGTACCATGTAATTGGGAATTTCACGAAACTCTTTGATAACAGCTGTTATAATGTCTTTCAAACTTTTATCATTGTCAACTGTCTAAATGGTACAGAATTAACAGAAGGTGAGTTTAACCTCCTTCAACAACAAGAGATTATCTCTTTTTGAAATTTAGCACATACATTGCAAAACAGTGAACTAATCAGGGCAGTATTAAAAAAGTTAGGAAGATTTAGGAACAATCTAATAGCCCACCACTAATACTACCACACCAGCAGACTACCATAATATCCAGACCTGCCTACCACACCCACAGCCAGCACCAACCCCTCCCAACCCCCAGAGTACAATTCTAGAAAGGAAGCTGAAGGTGTGGTACACCAACGAAGATGAATTACAAACAAGAGAGAAGTGTGGCAGGAAAAAATCACTGAGACATCCCCGAACATCATAGCAATCATAGGGACAAAGCTCACAGAAGTGACAACAGATGCAGTCTTCCCATCTGGATATCGGATCTTGAGGAAAGACATAGGGGCACAGAGGGGAAGAAGGAGTTGCACTGGGGACCCAAATGTGATGATAACAGTGATGTACAATCCACCACCGAGCAGGAGGCGACCAAGAATACGATGAGAGCAACCGAGTGATGGTGGACTCACTAACCGAGGTTGTCAGAAGAGCCCACATGAAAAGAGTAAAGTTACTCATTATGGGGGATTTCAACCATAAGGAGATTGACTGGGAGAATCTGGAGCCACATGGGGACCAGAGATGTGGACAACCAAGATGCTCGAGTTGGTACTAGAAAACTTCATATATCAACATGTTAGGGACACAAGCAGAGAGAGAGGAGACGATGAACCAGCAAAGCTGGACCTCGTACTGTCAGTGAACAGTTCAGATATAGGGGATATCACACAGAAAAGGCCCCTAGGTGCTAGAAATCATGTGGTCTTGATATAGAGTTAACAATGGAGAGTGAAGCAGTACAAGTAGGACGGAAGGGGAGAAACCGAATTTCCAATAAGAGGACGACACAAGAATGAGGCAATTCCTATATGAGGTGAAGTAGGTCAGTGAGCTAGAGGGGGAAGACATTAAACGAAATGATGGAACACGTGACCACAAAGTGCAAAGAGGTAGTGGAGAAGTTCGTACCAAGGGATAACAGAAACAATGGGAAGGCTATAGTGAGCCCATGGTTTAACAGGTGTGTAGAGGCAAAAGCCTAGTGTCTTAGTGTATGGAATAAGGCATAGAAGGCAAAGGACCCAGGAAAATAGGGAGATGAGCCGAAGAGCCATAAATGAATATGCTTGGATGAGGAGAGAAGCCCAGCATTAATATGAGAATGACATAGCATCAAAAGCCAAATCTGACTCAAAGTTGTTATAAAGCCACATCAGGAGGAAAACAACAGACAAAGATCAGGTAATCAGGTTGAGGAAGGAAGGAGGGGAGCTCAGAGGGAACGACCAGGAAGTATGTGAGGCGCTCAGCTCGCGACTCGGGGAGTTATTCACAGTGGAGACAGAGAGGCTTCCAGCAAACCGAGGTGGCAAGGTTCACCTGCAAGTGATAGATACACTGCATACAACCGAGGAGAAGAAAGTGCTAGGGGAACTTGATGCCTGGAAGGTGGTGGGCCAGATAATATCTTTCCTTGGGTCCTGAGAGAAGGAGGAGTTCAATAAATCTATCGAAACAGGGCAACTACCTGAGGTGTGGAAAACAGCAAATGTAGTTCAATTTTTTAAGAAGACAGACAGGGAGAAGATTATCAGAAAAGTGGTAGAACACATAGAAAAGATTGGGCTCATACGTGACAATCAGCACGGCTTCAGGGATGGGAATTCCTGTGTCACAAATCTACTTGAGTTCTACTACAGGGTAACAGAAGTAAGACAGGAGAGAAAGAGAGAGGAATGGGTAGATTGTATCTTCTTGGACTGTAAGAAGGCTTTTGACACAGTACCATTCACGAGACTGTTTCAAAAATTAGAGCAGCAGGAAGGAATAGTAAGGAAAGTACTGTAGCGGATTATGCAATACCTGACAGGAAGGAAACCACGAGTGCTGGTATGTGATGAAGTGTCAGAGTGGCCGTGTGTTGAGTGGCGTTCCACAAGGGTCAGTCTTAGGTCCGGTACTGTTTCTTGTTTATGTGATTGATATGATGGAAGGAACAGATTCAGAGGTGTCCCTGTTCGCTGATGATTTGAAACTAATGAGGAGAATACAAGCGGACGAGGATCACATAAGATTGCAAGGGAATTTGGACAAACTCAATAGTTATTAAATGTTGTAAATTGTGCACAGATTGATAAACATAATTCCCCGTTTGCTCATTATGCAATGTGTCCTCGTGAGGATTTGGTGGCGTTAGACCAGTGTTCTCTACACCTGTCCTGCACATTTCGCCCTTCTGATATCCTGCCTATCTGTGTCGAAAATAGGGTATACTAGGGTATTTAATAATTAACATTCCATAGGTAAGTGAAGGTATACCCGAGTTATCGTTAATTTTTTCTGTTTCCTTTTTCAGAGTAAACTATAATATTTTTATTTCTACAGGTATCTGTACAAGGTATACTGACCTAACTGACATCAACGACATATATAGAAAGTGCCTTGTTATGCATAGTATTTCGGGAAAATTAGGTCAAATTTGTCCCAGGATGCGACCTACACCAGTCGACTAACACCCAGGTACCCATTTACTAATGGGAGAAAATAGTCAACCGGTTTAAGAAAACGCGCCCAATGTTTCAACCCTCATCGGGAATCGAACCCGGACCCTCACCAAGGCAGCTGGCTGCCGTGGGCCAAAACGTCTAGCGTTAGATGGAATATATTTTTTTTATTTTTTTATTATCACACCGGCCGATTCCCACCAAGGCAGGGTGGCCCGAAAAAGAAAAACTTTCACCATCATTCACTCCATCACTGTCTTGCCAGAAGGGTGCTTTACACTACAGTTTTTAAACTGCAACATTAACACCCCTCCTTCAGAGTGCAGGCACTGTACTTCCCATCTCCAGGACTCAAGTCCGGCCTGCCGGTTTCCCTGAATCCCTTCATAAATGTTACTTTGCTTACACTCCAACAGCACGTCAAGTATTAAAAACCATTTGTCTCCATTCACTCCTATCAAACACGCTCACGCATGCCTGCTGGAAGTCCAAGCCCCTCGCACACAAAACCTCCTTTACCCCTCCCTCCAACCCTTCCTAGGCCGACCCCTACCCCGCCTTCCTTCCACTACAGACTGATACACTCTTGAAGTCATTCTGTTTCGCTCCATTCTCTCTACATGTCCGAACCACCTCAACAACCCTTCCTCAGCCCTCTGGACAACAGTTTTGGTAATCCCGCACCTCCTCCTAACTTCCAAACTACGAATTCTCTGCATTATATTCACACCACACATTGCCCTCAGACATGACATCTCCACTGCCTCCAGCCTTCTCCTCGCTGCAACATTCATCACCCACGCTTCACACCCATATAAGAGCGTTGGTAAAACTATACTCTCATACATTCCC